TTTGACCAAGCATAACTTTCACATACTTTATCAAAAAATTCTCAACCAAAGCCCATTTTAATGGAAATTAAATTCTCTACAACTTCTCTAAGCTCAAGGTCAAAAAATGCTTCATTTGAGAGATAAACATTATAGGTCATTTTAAAAGTCAACAAAAAGATACTTTTTGTGAAAGCAATTTACACCAAGTTAAAATCCTCAAATGAGAAAATGACCAACATGAAAGTTGTAGGAGACATCTTGATGTTTCCAAAAAGTCATAGATCCCTCTCATATGATAAAAATTGAGTGAGATATGATTTGTTCAAGTCGGGAAATTTTGAGGAAATGCATGAAACTCAAATTGAACAAATTTTATTTTTTGGGCTAATGGGATTATCTTTTAAGGTCCAAACGTGGTCCTGACCTCATCATGAACCTCTAAGTCCATCTATTTATTTTTTGGTTTTTTTATTTCTTTTATTTTGATTTTATTCAATTAAAATAAAAATAAATCAAATAAAATACTAAAGTAGAGATATGAGGCGCGTGACCTTTGTTCTAAATCAAATCATAAGGCTAAAAATCAGATAATCAATTAGGAAAAATATGTGGGATTGATTGGCACATGATTGGATAAAAAAGGGGAGATTTCATGCAAAATTCCCAATCAAATATTGTTTCATGAAGTACAAAGATTTAACTCATGTTTGTTGACCTAATTCATATCCTATAAATAGAGAACATATTCATACATCAAAGGACACACACAAGCTGCCTACAATAACTCTCAAATTTCTCAAAATTTCTCAAACCTGGGCAAACACAAAACCCTATTTGCAGCCTCCTTAAATCTAAATCAAGTATCCAAATGAATTCCTGAAGTTCCCAGGATCACTACCAAGCCAAGAAGCAAGCTTGTCCACGCCTGGAATCGTTCATTCAAGCCCACCGGTTTGGTCAAATTTCTCAATTCGAATTTGTCAATATATGCATTATTGTTTACTTTTAATTGCCCAAATGTGTTTTACATGATGTGTGAGACATGTTTGAACCAAAAAAATCAAGGTCTAACATAGAGAACATGATCTGTCGTCGTTAGGGAACAAAGTGTTGTTTTCTTCTAAACTCTGTATACAGGCGTTTTCAGGCCAAACCAATATTACCATTGAATTTGCAATCCTCAAATTAGGGGGGTAGGGTCCCTCTTAATGTTTGTTTTGCAGGTTTTTGCAGGTTAAGGATTTTGTATCATCGGAGAAGATGACTGGAGATAGGGCTCCGGTGTCTCTCTAATTTCAGTTTTCTTTTTATTATATAATATATTGTTTGTGTTTGAGTAACAGAAGAAGCATGGTTCAGTGGTAAAGCAGGCGCGCACGTATCATGAAGGGTGTGAGTTTAATCCCAGCCTTTTGGCATTATTTTGCTTAATTTTCCAAATTGACACGCATGTTCATAATATTTTGACCGATTTTTGTTTCTAAACACAAATGCAATGCAACTCAGTTGTCGAGCATGCATGCTGGAGAGGCAGGGGCGTGGATTCAACACCCACCCCAAACATACTTTTTTTTCTTTATTTCACTAACCCTAATTTCTTTATTTTTCTTATTTATTTCTTAATTAACTTTTAACAAACTCTAAACCTTTTTAAAAATCCTAACAAATTAGGTTTAGTTTTTTTATCAATAATTAATTTTGACGTTCTTTTTAATTAATTAATTAATCAACTTTTTCTTAAATATTAAAACCAATTAGAGTTTAGGTTTTAATCACTACTATCATTCAAATTATTTTCACAAAAAATACAAAACATTAAAACTTCTTTTTTCTAACATTTTTTTCTTATTGCTATTTAATTCTTAGAAAAACGTATAGGTCGCATAGTTTTTCTTGTAATAGCTTAGACTTATTTTCTCGCGCTTTTTTTTTTCTAATTATGTAACTGCTCACGAGATGTAATAGCTTAGGTTTAAATTCCATATTTTACTTTTCTCGCACTTTCATATTTATGTAATTGCCCCAAAGCCATGTAATAGCGTAGGAGTTTACATTCCGCACTTTACTTTTCCTGCTATATTTTATACTACTAGTAACTAGGGTTTGTATGGAAAGACTAATAAATCGAACGTAGAAAACCCTAATTTCAAGATAAATAACTGAAGTTAACACACTCTTCACACTTGCACCTTTAGGGTATCCTCTTTTGTTGCCTTACGATTAATGGTCTTGTCCCTCGAGAGTGGGGATGCTTTAGCAAAAGACCCTTACGAATAAAGATCATAGTCCCTCGATGACCCTTCGAAGTTGCCTACGAAAAATGATCTAGTCCCTCCGATACAAATTTCTAAAGCATATCTACATGTTGCCTTCAATGACCATTCGATGACCTTACGTCTATCCTTTCACATCCAATAGATAGGGCTACCTACCAACTAATGGTATGGATAATACTATCTCTAAAAGAGAAGGAAAAGAATAAAAACGACCTTTAGTGGGTAAGGAACTTTTAATCGCTTGCTCACGACTCTTTTCTAAAATAAACATTTTTCACATCACACTTTTCAAACCAAATATTTTCAAGCATTTTATACGCATTCTTGAGGACTGATACAAGAATCATTACAAAGTTGGTTGTACTTTTCCTTTTCAAAATATTTTCAAAACACACATACGAAGCAAATTTTCAAAAGTGAGCTAGCGACTAAGAGTTCGTAGATAACTACAGATGAAAATGGTGCTAACATCGTCCCTTTTTATAACTTACCCCCCGAACTCAAAATCTATCAAAGGTATTTCCTGTTCTTTTCACCTTTCCTAAATATTGGATAAAAGAAAAGTCGGTGGCGATTCTTGCTGTCTGCACATTTTGGATAAAATCAAAAAGTCAGTTCTCCCACCGTATTACAGCACCGAATTGGGTTAACAATTGATTGTGTTCTTTAAGTTTTTGCCATTTGCTTTTCTGCACAATTTGTTTGTTATAGCAAGTCTGTTTTCTGTCAGCAGATGGTATAACATTTATCGTGACATTCTGTGTTGTTGAGACATCAGTCTTAACTTCTAATATTGTGTGTGGTAGAATTTCAAACATCTTAACCCATACCATATTCAGTATCACCTTGATTTTCTTTGTTGTAAGTTGTTTCTCTTTTTTTCTTACCATTATCCAACCTTGTAGATTGAATATGCAAGCGTCAAAGCCTTTTTCATATTCCTCATGTAATATTTAAATACAAAGCAAACCATTTTCATGCAAACTTGTGAGTGTTGAATCGATTAGAATGAACGGTTCTAAAAATGATGTTTTTTCGCACTCATATGTATTTGTCAATCCCTTCGTGACATTATTTGTTGTGATTGTATGTCTATCTTTGTTGGTGAAATTTGAGAGTCGACGCATTGTTATGCACATAACAACAACGCCGTCGATGACGGGGCTATGATGGTCAAACCTTTCTTAAATGATGACTTCTAAACACATGTCTTAGCAGAATCCTCCTTTCAAAAGTATATCATAATTTCAAAATAAAGAGCTTCAATTATTTTAAAAAAAATTGTAATTTCGATAAATTTACTATTAATATTTTTAATTTTAGTTTAATATTAAAATTAAATTTTTTTAATTTTTATTAAATTTCTATTTTTATATCATAAATATAAATCAATGATTCAATAATTTAAAATACCCGATAGATTTCTAATTAAACTCGTATTTTTAATAAATATTTTTAAATTTGTCTCTTTAATTAAACATATCATATTATAAAATTTATATCTTACTCATATTATATCTTATCATTGTTTGATTATATCTTTTAGTTTTACTTATTATATTTTAACTAGGATGATAATAAATGAGACCGATCTATAGGAGTTCATAGCCCAATCTATTTAAAATCATATCATGTCATACTTATTTAGTAACAAGACTAGACTTAGACTTTTTTTAAAGTTTATTTAATTAAATATGTCAGACTTAGACTATTAAAAAAATCTACAAAATCTTATAATTTGACCTATATTTTTATATAATTAACAATCCACCAAATAAATTGATATATATATATATATATATATATATATATATATATATATATATATATATATATATATATATATATATATATATATATATATATATGGATTAATTGAAAATCTTATTTAAAAAAAACTTTTACATATGTTTTCAGACTAGATCAGACTTTTAAAAAAATCAAATTAAAAAAATGAACCTAAAATAAATTATAGGTGAAACTCATATCAATCTATTATAGGTCAAACTCAAACTTTTTAAAATCTAGTTTAACTTAATCTATTTCCTCTCATAATTTTGACCATCAAAATCTAAACCTAGTTTTTCAAACAAAATATCTTCTCATTTCATAACTATAGTAAGAGAAATTGATTAGTTATTTAAAACATCAAACCGTGACTAAAATAATAAATAGCCTAAAAACACCATGACTAACAAATTCATAAATAAAAAACATAACGTTCACCCTACAAAAATTAATTTCTTATTTTGAAATTCAAATATTTAAGCCATAAATTAAAAAACAATTATATATTTATTAAACCTCATGGTAATTGACATGTGATTATTCTGTTGCACGAATCCCAAGAAAACGTCTCCTCCCAAAACCGATTTCTATTACTCATCACTCAAAATTCTCTTCTTCTTCATTCCATTCCATTTTGAAAACCCTCAAAATTTCCCAATTCGTCTTCTTCCATTGTTCTACACTCTTTCAACCACGCTTCTTCATCAGGTCTGTTTTCCTTCCCATTTTAGCAATTCAATCTTGTTTGTGTTTTTCTGTTTGTTCATATTTTACAATTTTCACTACTCACTCGCATTTTTGGATAAACAACTTATTCGTAGCTTATAACTCAAGTGTTTATCAAAATAAGCTCTTATGAATAAGGGCATGTTTGGATAAATAAGTTTTCGCAGCTTATAGCACAAATACTTATCAAAATAAGCGCTTATGAATAAGCTTGCATAAGTTATTTTTATGATCAGCAACCGAAGAAGTCAGTTTTCTCATCAAGAAACAATGTGTGACTCGTTGCTTAAAGAACTTCAGGTTATTGTTCCTTAACATTTAAAACATCATTTTGTTGCCTCTTGTAAAGAACCTTAGGAAAAGGACTAACATTGTGTTACTTTGATGCTTGTGTGTTGAATGTAAGGTAATATGGGATGAACTTGGAGAATCCGATTCTAAAAAGGATGCAATGCTGCTTGAAATAGAACAGACGTGTCTGGATTTGTGTAGGAAGAAAGTAGACGAAGCAAAACTATATAGGGCACAAATTCAGCGGGAAATTGCTGATTGTGAAGCAGAAATTGCTGGCATGTGTTTTGCTCTGGGTGAACAATCTCTACATGTAAGTCTTGTTGACATTCTAGATTTGAGTTTATGATTTTGCCATTCTCTTGGTCAAAACTGAGAGGAAAATGTCTCGGCTAACAAATTTTCATTGGTGTGTCCTTAGTGTGAACCTAAGTCTCCTGGAAACTTGAAGAAAGAACGTGAGAGTGTTATTTCACAATTTGAGGAGATGAGAAAGTTGAAAAATGAAAGGATGAAGCAGTTTTTGGAAGTCATACATCAGTTGCAGAATATTTCCAGCGAGCTCTATGGCAGCACGGGGGCTAATGCATATTTAGACGAGAAGATTTTATCTCTTGAAAAACTTGAAGGATTAAAGAGGCAATTAGTCCAATTTCAAAATGAAAAGGTGATTTTTTGTTAGTCCTATGTTATTTGTTGCCTGAATATTGTCCATGTGTCTTGGAATGTTGAATTCTGCAAGGTTGTGTGACTTGTTCTTATTGCTTGGGGAGGCTTTACTTAAGATCATATCATGCAGTTATCTTTTATTTTCTTGCAATCCTATTACCCAAACAAAATATAGTAATAACTTTCAAATGTATATTTCATCGAAAAGATCTTTCTCTTAATTTGTCGCAGGCCAGGCGAATGAAACAGGTATCTGACCAACTGTATACTCTTAATTCGTTGTGCTCAGTGCTCGGTCTAAATATCGAAGACAAAATTTGTGAGATTTGTCCCACTATGACTTCCACTGTTACAAATGATATAAGTGACCATACATTGAAGAGTTTGAATTCTGAAGTTCTGAGTTTGAGAGAGGTTAAAATGCAAAGAATGCAGAAGGTCGGTATTCTTGCTCATGCTTTTCATATTTTAGAAAAACCAGTTTTATTCAGCTAAGCATCATAAATTTTCATGCATTACCAGCTTCAAGGTTTTGCAATTTCGCTACTCGAGATGTGGAGTTTGATGGACACTCCTCTTGAGGAACAACGGACATTTCACAACGTGACCAATAAAATTGCTGCTATGGAATCTGAATTTACTGAGTCTGGCATACTATCAATTGACAACATCATCTATGTGAGTTCACCTAAATTAAATTGACCTTTTTTGTTTAGCTGTGATTAACTAAATGGGCTCTTCTCATTGCAGGTTGAGAGAGAAATTAGAAGGCTAGAGCAACTTAAATCTACCAAAATGAAAGAACTTGTACAGATAAAGAAGTTAGAATTAGAGGAAATATGCCAAAATACACATTTGACTACACATACCGTTTTTCCTAGTGGACATCCAATAGAGTCATTTGACAACCGTAAGATTTTTAATTCGTTTTTGAAGGTTTCCGGTTAATTGTATTATTGAGTCAATTCTTTAAGGATAAATGTTAAGTGATCAATGCATCGGGCATAAGGATTGGGGTGAATGGTCTCCAGGCTAGTTTGTTATTTTTATCAAAATATGCCATGAGCCTCTTATGTCCTCAGCCAGTTTGAAAATCATTCTGCAGAATCTGCAAACCATGAACACCTGTTGGAACAAATTGATTACCAAATTTCAAAGACAAAAGCAGAAGCTCTTAGTCGGAAAGAAATCCTTGATAAGGTCGAGAAGTGGTTAGCTGCTATTCAAGAAGAAAGCTGGCTGGAAGAGTACAACAGGGTGAGGCACCATTGTTATTGACAAAAATGGACATTTCCTTCTAGTGTCTTTGTTATGCTTTTTTTCTTCTATTAATCTGGGTTTATAGGACGACAATCGCTATAATGCTGGAAAAGGTGCACATCTTGCCTTCAAACGTTCCGAGAAAGCCCGTGTTTTACTAAGCAAAATTCCTGGTGAGCATCCATTCACACAATATTAGTTCTTCAAATAAATTGATGGTTTTACAATAGGCTAGCTTTGGACAAAATGTTCAATGGCATGTTGAAGTTGGCTTATTAATTCTGTGTTTGTCTGCATATTGTTAATTCCGAATGCATCAAGGGGAGTTTGATATTATGTAGTTTCTTAATTTTATGGGCCTGATCCCCATTTGTCCTTTGTTTTTAAACAGGGATGATAGAGTCATTAATTTTGAAAGTTACAGCATGGGAGAAAGAAAGAGGATTCGAATTTTCATATGATGGAGTGAGTATTTTTAGCAAAATCATTTGTTTAAATGTTATGATTTTGTCTTCTCAATTTTATGATAAAGTCAACATTTTATCTGTTATGCATCACACATTTTTATGTATAATTTGTTAGATCCGGCTGCTTTCCATGATTGAAGATTACAATACCTTAAGGCAGGAAAAAGAGAATGAAAGGCAAAGGCAAAAGGTATGATGACATTTATTCACTATGAAGCACATACACCAAAAATACGACACATACACTGATAGTCGACATCGGTAGTAATTTGAAAAAATGACTAAATTAAACGTAAAATCACTAGTTTCGATGTTTTCTTCGACACGTACACACCTATTTTTCAGAAGCATCAGTTCCAGATTCCAATTCATCCTCTATTCTAATTCAACTGTTTCTGTTTTCTCTTGTAAATTTAGGATCAAAAGAGACTAAAGGGACGCCAGATGTCTGAGTATGAAACACTTTTTGGATCAAAACCCAGCCCATGTAAAATTGGGATAAAAACTCCCAGGTGTTCAACAGTTCCAAATACCAAAAAATTCTCTGTTAGTAGACCTATGCTTCAGGATCTAAGACAAGCAACTCTCCTTCAACAATCTAATAATAAAGGTAACACAACCAACTCTTATTCAACTCCATTCTCAAATCTTCAAAGTTTTCTTCTAAGGTTAAAATTTAAATGCATTGTCAATTGCATCTTCTGCAGGAAAGGGTGCTTCTATGGTTTTTGGTCATTCAGCAAAGAAAATTCCACACAGTGCAGAAAAGGGAATTGGGATTCAGTCACCATTATCTAGGAAGCCACTCTCTCCTGTTTCTTCCACAGTCCTGTCCAAAGCCAACATAAAAAATTCTCAAGAACCTAGAAAAATACAGAATGTTGCTACAAAACCAATACTGCAAAAAAGTGAAGCGCAAGTAGGAACTCCTCCTCCCAAGCCGTTTATTACTGGCGATGAAGATAAAGTATCCCCGAAGAATATGGGATTTTCCGTGCCAACCACTCCTCTGACTGTCCCTATGCTGGATATCACTACACCAGACACTCTTATTTCTAAGGCTGCTGCAAAGATTGCTCAACCATTTGAGTATTCGATCGAGGAGTTGAGAGCTGGTTTTGTCATACGTTTAGACTCTTGCTCAATGACTCAATAGTTTCGAGAGGAAGTTCAATCAACACAGATTAGCTATAGGTTGGTTGCAAAATTACTGATTTGTAATAGCAAATTTTTCTTTTTCTATTCTCTTGAAGAGTACCGATTTGGCAGTGCTTCACTAAGAACATGTTTTTTTTTTGGTTGAGACTTGTTCAAAGTTGAAGCACATGCTTGTTACTGTAATCGGATTCAGTGTGATTCATCAAATTCATACTTTTGACTTAATCCAAAAAACCAATTGAAATGGTTATTCTTTTGGGCCACATGAATGATGGATTGAGCAATATCCTATTTTTGTTCAACGTCTCTTATCCTAGTTTACTGGTTCTACCATTACTATACACTTGTTATTTTTGTTTTATTATAAATTTTAAGGTTAAATATATTTGTTGTCTCTCTAAATATACCAATATTTCTTTTTAGTCTCCTAAAATATTTAGTTTGAACTTTGGTCCTCCTAAATTGTCTCGTCCAAATTAATGGTCAGTCCAATTAACTTCCAGTAATGAAAGTTGATGTGAAACACTCATTGTCAGTTTTTTTTTTGGCACAGTTAGACGCTGACTTAAAAATTACTTGGATGCCAACACGACTCGTGTTAATTTTCAGCATAAATATGTATGTTTAAGAAGCAAAACATTCATTTAGATAGATTAAAAAACCCTACCCCGAAATCATTCACACAAGAACCCTTACTCAACACTCATGCTTCTTTCACCATTAATACACAACTCTTTGTTCTTAGCTAGAACACTCGAAGCTCCCTTAATTGTCAGGGCAGCTGCACACAATGATGCATTAAATACAAATCAATGTTGCATATCTTGAGAATTAAGGGGATGAATTTCAAGTTGAGAATATCTTGAGAAACTATGGTGGAAATATTGGAAATGTAATTTATTTAATGTCCACAATTCTCAATACTTATTCTTTATTAGGGTCTTTTGGCATTTTCAATTTCTAGTATAAATATGCTACCTAGGTCATCAATATTGTATTCCAAATTCATTCCTCTATTTGAATATTAAAAAGTAGTCCTTTTTGTTATCATTCATTGTTCATTATTTATCTCTCCTTCCATTACCTTGCACCAACAAATTGGTATCTAGAGCTTTTGGTTCTGTTTTCCTGGGAAACACGAGTGGTTGTGAGCTGTGTGTTTGAGTTTTGTTCTTTGATTTTCTGTTGAAATCTTGAACAAAATTCTGAACAGAATTTTGATTATGTGGGTTGAGAAACAGTGTGTTTAAGATCTGAAAATCCGTGCAAGGTTTAAAATGAGTGGAGACGGTAGTTTGAACACTAAACTTCCAGTTTTTAATGGCAAAAACTGGAACAGATGAATGATACAAATGCGTGTACTGTTCGGTGCACAAGATGTTCTGGATCTGGTTACAAATGGTTATGTACCAGCTGCAGCAGATGCAACTGAAGAACAGAGAACTGCTGAGAGGTTGATGAGAAAGAGGGATCAGAAAGCTCTGTTCTATATCCATCAGTGTGTGGATGAAAATGTGTTCGAGAAGATTGCTGATTCAACAACGTCTAAAGGGGCGTGGGATTTACTAACAAGATGTTACGGTGGTGACGCATCAGTAAAGAAGGTGAAGCTTCAATCCCTACGAAAGCAATATGAGAACCTGAACATGAAGAGCGGTGAGAAAGTTTCTGAATATATCTTCAGAGTGATTCTGATCACTAACGAGATGAAGGCGTGTGGAGAAACTCGGACTGAACAGGTAATCATAGAGAAGATTCTGAGGTCGCTCACTCCTCAGTTTGATTACATTGTTGTTTCTATTGAACATTCTAAAGATCTGGAAACCATGAAAATAGAAGAATTACAAAGCAGCTTAGAAGCACAGGAGTTACGTCTGTCTGAGAGAACTTCTGAGAGAGAAGTTGAGCAAGCTCTAAAGGCTTCTTTTGTCAAGAAAGACCAGAAGCAGAATAGACGTGGTGATAGATTCCAGAAGTCAGAAGCCTCAACTTCTGATGATAAGAAGTATCATAAAGGAAAAGAGAGGTATGACAAAAGGAAGGTTCAATGTTACTCCTGTAAACAATTTGGCCATTTTGCCAGAGATTGTAGATCAAACAGGGATAGGAAATCAAAAGAAGCATATATGGCTAAGAGAAACTCTGATGATGAACATGTACTGCTAATGGCCTCTGACTCTGATGGAAAATGCTCAGAAGATTGGTGGTATATGGACACTGGCTGCTCAAATCATTTAACTGGAAACAAACAATGGCTGACAGACTTTGACTCCAGAAGGAGTACAAAGATCAGATGTGCTGACGATAAGTATCTTAATGCAGAAGGTATGGGAGATGTCAGAATTAGAGTGAAGAATGGGAAAAACATTCTGATCAAAGACGTATGGTATGTTCCTGGTATTAGAAGCAATCTGATGAGCGTAGGTCAGCTGATTGAGAAAGGTTTTTCAGTTGTTATGAAAAATAATCTTCTGACGTTTGTATGATTCCAATCAGAAGTTAATTATGAAATCTGAACAAGGAGGCAACAGAACATTCAAGGTGAATGTAGAAACAGCTGAAGCAACGTGCCTTAGTGTAGAAGGTGCTGAAAGTAACAGTAAGTTGTGGCATAAGAGGTTAGGGCACTTAAACTATAGAAGCTTAGGGCATCTATGTTCCAAGAAGCTCGTACGTGGTATTTCGAAAATTATGAAGCCTGAGAAGTCATGTGAGATATGCATGAAAGGTAAGCAACCTAGATTACCATTTACATCAGAAGTAACCCCCAGAGCGAAACATGCTCTGGGAGTAGTACATTCTGATGTGTGTGGACCATTTCCATTATCTTCACTTGGAGGAAACAATTACTTTGTGTTTTTTGTGGATGAGTTCACAAGAATGACATAGGTAACACTTATCAAATTCAAGCATGAAGTGTTTACTGAGTTCCAAAAATTCAAGGTGAAGGCTGAGAAGCAGAGTGGTCAGAAGTTAAAAATTATGAGAACAGATGATGGAGGTGAGTATAACTCTACAGCGTTTCAGAAGTTTTGTGAGGAAAGTGGAATAGAATATGAGGTTACTGCTCCATATACTCCTCAGCACAACGGTCTTGCTGAAAGAAGAAACAGAACTCTGCTTGATATGACCAAAAGCATGCTGAAAGAGAAAAAGCTACCTCACGTGCTATGAGGAGAAGCTGTTGCCACATTAGCATACATTCTGAACAGGTGTCCAACGAAGAAACTGAAGGAAGTTGTTCCTTTAGAGAAATGGACTGGAGATAAGCAGAGTGTCAGTCATCTGAAGGTGTTTGGCTCTGTCTGTTACAAACACGTTCCAGAAGCTAGAAGACAAAAATTGGATGATAGAAGCAAAATAATGTTGCTGGTGGGGTACCACAGTACAGGTGCATATAAGCTTTATTGTCCAGAAACTAATAAAGTTGAAGTCAGCAGAGACGTTGTGGTGAAAGAGTCTGAAGCATGGGATTGGAACAAATCTCAATCTGATTCTGGTGTAGTGCCAACACCAGAGTTATCCTCTGAAGATGTTTTAGAAAGATCGGAAGATGAATCTGATTCTGAAGATCCTGAAGATTCTGAAGATGAGTTAGAAGAAGATGATCCAGATACTGATGATGATCCAGAATCTGGTGGTAATCATAGTTCTGGAAGGGAAAATTCTAAAGGTGGTAACTCTGAAAGTAGTAGTTCTGGTGCAGCTTCAAAACAAGCTCAAAGACCACAGAGAATCAGACAAAAACCCAGAAGGTTTGCAGATTTTGACATGCTGCAGGATAATGACGTTGACTCTGAAGGAGAAGTCTTTCAGTGTGCCATGTTAGTAGATTTTGAACCAGTGGGCATTGAAGAAGCTCTCAAGAAGAAAGAATGGCTTAATGCCATGAAAGAAGAACTTGAGGCAATAGAAAGGAACAAAACTTGGAAATTGACTAAACTTCCAGATAAGAAAAAAGCCATCAGCGTCAGATGGGTTTTTAAGTTGAAACTTAAGCCAAATGGTTCCATTGGCAAGCACAAAGCTAGACTAGTAGCTAGACGTTTTCTTCAGAAACCTGGGCTAGATTATTTTGAGGTGTTTGCACCTGTAGCTAGGCATGAAACAATCAGACTGGTGATTGCCTTAGCTGCAAACAGAAACTGGCCTTTAATGCACCTGGATGTGAAGTCAGCATTTCTGAACGGTCCATTACAGGAAGAAATTTACGTGTCACAACCTCCTGGATTTGTGAAAAAGAATCAGAAAGGAATGGTATACAGGTTAAATAAGGCTCTGTATGGACTGAAGCAAGCACCTAGAGCTTGGAATCTGAAAATTGATTCATTTTTCAAGAAGCAGAGGTTTCAGAAGTGTGAGATGGAATATGGAGTTTATGTACAACACTCTGATAGCAATATGATTCTGGTGTGTCTCTATGTTGATGACATCTTGCTAACAGGTAGCTGCCCAGAAGATATAAAGAAGTTCAAGGAAGTTCTGATGAATGAGTTCGAGATGACAGATCTAGGAAAAATGACATATTTCCTAGGAATGGAGATTATGTACTCGAAGAAGGGTATCATTCTGCACCAGTTAAAATATGAACAAGAACTTCTGAAGAGATTTAAGCTGCAGAACTGCAAAGTTGTTGTGACACCATCAGAAACCAATCAAAAATTGGATTCTGACTCTGATGGTGATTCTGTTGATTCTACAACCTTCAAACAGATGGTTGGCTCTCTAAGGTATTTATGTAATACTAGACCTGGCATTTGTTATGCAGTTGGATTAGTCAGCAGATTCATGAGTAATCCCAAGTGGTCTCATTTTCAAGCTGCTGTCAGAATTCTGAGATATATTAAGGGAACTCTGAAATATGGAGTGTTGTTTCCTTCTGAAAGAAAGACAAAGTCAAAATTAGTAAGCTATTCTGATTCTGACTGGTGCGGAGACAGAGTGGACAGGAGAAGTACCTCTAGATACTTGTTTAAATTTCTGGGAGGTCCCATTTCC